CACACACACACACACACACACACACACACACACACACACACACACACACACACACACACACACACACACACAGGCAGCTCTTAACCCCATAATGTGGGGGCTGTGAAAGCAGCAAAAATGAATAACTGAAGACATACATATTTTATGGATTGATTCGGAAGGATGGCAGGGCCAAAAATAGGCCGACGGCGTGTAAAACATAAGGATGAGTGAAGGGGCCGGTCATCGCTTTAAAGGCAGACACACTTATACCAGCGAGTCAGCATCAGGGGTGGGGGGGAGCACCATTAATGGGAAGGAGGGGGGAGAACAGTGGGAGGGGAGACTTTAAATATAAACGGTACCGGAGGGTCACGTGATCAGATGCGAGTGTCCTTGGGCAAGGTGCCACCAGGCAGGGCCAGCTTGAGGTGTGACAGAACGAGCACGGCGTGCAAATTTCACACGCCTGAAGCACTGCCGTTTACATGTGACGTGACGGGTCCGGACGCCATTTCGGAATCGCATCTCCACACAACGGGCAGAGTTCTCCATAACGGATGGGGAGGATGGAGAATCAAATGTCGACTGGGGGTGGGGGGCAGAGGACGGGAGGGAGCGAATTAAAAGCCGGGGGGGGGGGAATCTAATGGGTTTTAACTGCTCGAGAAAAGTGATACACGGAAACACAGTTTGTTTACAAACCTTTAGCCGCGTTGTGGTTGGGGGGGGGGGATTACAGCATGCCCACATCACAGACTCTAAATCGACACCCCCCCTCCCACTCCCAGCACACCCTCTTCTCAGATCATCCCTTTAATTTCTGCTCCTGATAATTATTTCCCAAAGCCAGCCATCCGGTCGATTAGCCCTGGGATCCGTGACGGTCCCGTCCGCCGATTAAAGCGACTTTACCTGCCCTCAAGCTGTAATATCCGTCTCATTTCCCCCCCCCCCCAGAATCCTGCCGTCGAGCACAAGCAGCTTCCAGTTGAGGAACCTGGTCGCCGGCGCAGACTACAGCCTCTGCGTGCTAGCCATCTTCGACGGCATCAGCGCCATGGCCTCCACCGCCGTCCTGGGCTGCGTGCAGTTCAGCACCAAGGACGGCTACCCAGAATGCCGCTCGCTGCAGGCCCACTTCTTGGGCGGCACCCTGACGGTGATGGTGGGCGGCGTGGTGGTGGTGACGCTGCTGGTGTTCACCGTCGCCATGATGGTCCGGCACAGGGCGTGCGGCGGTCACCACGGCGACGTGGGCGGGGCCTCCTTCCCGCCAATGCCGCGCAAAGCCATGGATGTCTGCCTGCAGACCAACGGCAATGGGGGCGTGGTAATGGTGGTGGTGCCCAACGGGGCTCTGCCACCCCCCCGGGGGAAGGGGCAGCCCCCCAAGCACAAACTCAAAGCCCCTCCACAGACTAAAAGCCCAGGGCAGGGCACTCAGGGTGGGGACAGCGCCGAGAGCGAGAGGCTCACACTCTACTACTCCGCCATGAATACCCCAGCCCTGCCACGGCTGGCCTGTGGCACCAGGAAGCACAGGGACAAAACTAGGGACAAATGCACGACCTCAGCCACTGGGGGGCAGTACAGGGTGACTGCTCGGAGGGCCAGTGTGGGCGGGGCAGCACTGGTTAAGCGGGGCGGAAGCCCCTCCCCGGAGGAGGCGTCGCTAACCCTTGCGGGAGCCAAGCGCAGCTGTTCCTTCGACATGGGCGAGATCGCCACGGCAACCTGCTATAGCTACGCCAAGCGGCTCAGCGTGATCTGGACACGGCGGAGCCAATCACTGCACGGCATGCTGGTGCAGTGTGCCGCGGCCACCACTGGGGGCGGGCCGGAGCACTACGCGCAGGCGCTCAGGCAGGGCTACCTGCGCGCCTATAACAGCTCCAACTCCAACTCCAACTGCAGCGTGGAGGCCGACGCCGACGACCTGGAGGAGACGGTCGTCTAGGAGGACTGCCACCAGGGGGCGCTAGAGGCGCCCAGGCCGCAGAGGTTCACGAAAGACAGGGTTCATGAAAGTGGAGAGAGAGAGGCTACGATGAAGTGTGAAAGTGAGAAATGTGAGCACGCCCGGATTAGTAAGCACACGGAGGCACGTGCAAAGAGTGGAAAAATCCCACGTGGGCGTCGATCCATAGACAAACACCAGCCGTCGCATACCAGGTCATACATGCCTGCTCAGCTGTGATTCATGTTTGAACAAGCATCTGGAAAAGAGCTGAAGGACAATATTGGCAGAGACTGAAAATAAGGTTGACGGGACAACTTTCGGGAAGCGAGCAGAGCAGGCCAATGTTTAGCGAGGAAACATTTGTGTGAAGCACAAGCATGAAGCTGCTCTCCATGCCGCTGGGCGAGTTCATCCATTCACAGCAGAAGATGGATTTCCATCAAAGAATACGACATTGTTTTCCTTTGTATAAATACATCATGTGCAGGTATCATCTCAAAGATTATAGAAGATTATGTAAAATTATGTAGAACTTTTTAAAATTTACTACTACAGAAAATGTTAACGAAACTCCTGAATAATCGTCACACGGATCAAGGTACAGTGTAACTATGAATGACACCCCACAATATGAATAACTGTGGTTTTCTTTTCCAATGTGTTCTTAATTTGCCAGTTATGTTTCTGTCAATTTACTATTCTGGTTGATTAAAGTGGACTGGTTTAAGAGCTGCCCCCGGTACATGTCATGTCCTGTCGCGGCTACTCCAGGTATGCCATTACCCACAATGCCAGAGGTGTCGGGACTGTTGGGGTATAATGAGCTAAACACAGCATGACTGGAAAGCCACCATAATCCAATCCTAACTAAGCGTTACCCTTCTAAACGACGTGCGATGAAATCCGTTAAATAGCACACAGGGAAGAAGCTTCTAATTACCGTGGCCAGAGTCATTGTATGCTGTCAATTACAGCCCGATTTAACCCAATAGGATTCAATGGGTGTCAGGATTAAATGAGCTGACTGACAGCCTAGGATAATTCCTCCCACTCTGGGATGTGAAGCCTCTTTTGTCTTCGCTAAAAAGTAAAATGGCAGCCCTTACATACCTATATTTGACACCTGGGACCACAGGAGACATCAGGGCCCTGTCAAGCAGCCCGTTCACATTTAACAGGGTACATTTTCACAGGACAATTTTCCTGAGGAATCGGAGAGATCATTTCTTACCTGATCTGGTGCCAGCGGAATCTGTACCACAGGGCAAAGCGTCATTAGACCAATTTACCACCAAAGGTATTAAAATGCGAAATGAAATAATAATAAAAATACAATTAAAAAAAAATAAACGCTTTATTTGTCTTTAGTAATGCGTAAATACTTCAGAAATTGTGACGACCGGTAAATTAAAAGAAGCAGAAAGCTGGGCCTAATTGCACTGAAGAGAGAGATTTCCAGATTTCCACTGAAAGAACTATTAGCGGGTCAAGGAACCCTATCGTTTGCGGGCAGGACCGTGCAGAGAGGCGGCCCGCAAGAGGGACGCAGTAAACTTATGTCGGATAGGTGTGTTTATAGACCCGGAGTAGGAGACAATCTCACAACGGCCGTCTTCGGGTTAGGCAGCTGTCAGATTCCGACTATTTTGGAATGCACACGTACGAGATGATCCAATTGGCGATGGTTCGAGGGCTGTCCAAGCCTCACAGATAGAATCACGGATGCTGTGACATCAGAGACACCTCAGCAGTTATCTCTACCAGGACCAACGCACACGGGGGGGGTGTCACAACGCTGAGAAACAGCGGCCCCCGCTGTGAAGCCACACCAGAGGCGCGGAGGGAGTATAAAAATGGTATCAGGGATCGTTTCGTAATCCTGGGAAGAACAAGGGCTGGAAGCCGGTGGTGGGCGGGATCACCGTGTCAATCATGTCCTGCTTTAACTCGGCAAGGACTAACCAATAGGAACGTATTGCGACCAGTGATTGACAGCACTTAGTCTCACCCACAGCCTCATTTCGCCCAATAAGAGTTGATATAGCAGATATTGGTTTTCCCTGCAGTGTAGAGGCACCCAGGGTCACCTGCAGGACAGGATGAGGGGTGGGGGGGGGGGGTATGGAAGCTGCAGATGAGAGCACCAGCAGCTTTGGAGGTGGTGGGGGGCAATGACACCCCCCGCAGGGGCACAGCACCACCTGCAGACACTGATCAGAGATGCCAGGCTGGCGGGGGGGGTTTAATCATGCCACAGCGGTCGGTAACACCCCCCCCCCAACCGATGTGGCATGGAGCCCGGCAGCCTGTCAACTCCAAAGCCAGGCTGGGTGTTTTTTGGGGGGGGGGAGGGGGGGCAGAGGGTGGGCTTCCCCACCTGTCCAAACCCACCGGTGCGAGACAAGGGTCTGCCTCACCCCCCGAGCCAGGAGGCATGCAGAGCAGACGGGCAAAAGCCTTAGTAAGCATTTCCACGCGCCAGTACAGCTAACGGGGAGAGCAAACCTCACAGACTGTGTAAATTACCCAGAATGCTCTGGTGGTCTTCCGCTCCCCAGCCGCTATCCTGGTGACTCAACTGCTAGACAGGGCATGTGGCAGACAGTGAGCCCCCCGGGGTAGTCAACCGCCCCACCGGAAGCCCAAAAGGGGCCAAGTCACCTGATATGCTATGACGTGACATTAAGGGGTTTGATTCTGGCCAGGGCACCACTGAGCCGCTCTCTGGACAAACCAGCCCCATGTCTCTCACCTGCCTATGTATCTACACTGAACTAAGAGTAACCCCCCCCCAACCCCTTTCCCAGCACGCCCTTCACCTCCCTCGCCCCTCAGCTTCCGACTGAGCTCCCAACCCGCCGATCCCAAGGTCGCCGCCTGTCTCCAGACACCGTCTCCCTGCGGAGGGTGCCCCCCCCCCACAAAATCCATTTCAGAGGCCTTCAGCCGTGTCTCAGATAGCCCAAATGAGGGGGGGGGGGCAGATACAGGCAATAGTAGGGAAAAAAAAACAAAAAAAAAAAAAGACATTCTGCCAATAGAGTCAGAAAAACAGAGATGGACTGAATAAGCAGAGACAAAGGGAGGGGGGGACCTCACACCCAGGGCACAGAACCTCCCCCCCCCCCCCTGAACAAACTAATCACATTGTTCCACTGCGCTTGTATTTTTAGACCTGCACAGAACTCAGCCTTCGACGCCGGTCCACCTTTCAATCCCTCCTTTTTCACATCCATCCTCTCTTTCCGACAGTCCTCCCACAAACGCCGGAACCGCCCTGCCTCCATCCCTCACCCCTCACAGGCGGTCACGGCGATTTCTCCGGCCGTGCGCCCCCCCCCCCGATTAACGCTTCAAAGCCTCGCCGTTCCGGACCCGAGCGTACGGCACGGCCGCAAGGAACGGAGAGAACTGCACCACCTCAGATGGGAAATCTCAATAACGCCCTTTTCATTTCCCGGTAGCGTTTCTGGCAGGTTATGCGCTCTGGGGGATCGGTCACTCCTCAGGCAACACAAAACACTGCCAGCTGTCAGAAATTCTGCCTTTTTTAAAACCCAGTGCAACAAAATGTTTTTATACATTTTCTCGCCAGCCATCGAGCATCCAGCTTGTCAAGGAACAAAACAAAAAGCACAAATCAGTCCCTTTGGACACTTTTCTGGTTAGTAACTTGTACTCAAAATTGCCCAACAAACACAAACTGCCATTTCTGAAAAGATCTGAATGTTTTTTTCCCACACATGGATCTGCACAGCGCTCCTGGTAGGCCCAGGAGAGGAACATAAGCACCTGAATTAGAACTTGTGAGATCCTCAAACAGAGAGGAGTTGTTTAAATCCACAAAACCACAGGCTTCACCTCTCCCGCCCAAGACGAGCACAGACTCCTGCAGACCCCCACAATGCCATCATTATGGAGTCACCTAACTCCAATGATTGGTCAGCCTTAGTCTCTAGATAAACTCAACCCCCCCTTTATGGATGTAAATGATGGCCCTGGGGGTTGGCGGGGGGGAAGGAACTTAAACGGCAAGCTGGAGATTTTACTCGCCGATCGCTGATGTCGCCCGGCATGCCGATTAGTCCTAACGACGGGGCCTAAGGGGAGGGTCCCGCTTAATTAACATGCGGGCCGCGTCACCCCGTCAATGACAGCAGGCAGGATCCTTTTTCCACCTGCCCTGCGCTCGTCTATTTCCAAGCCCCCCCCCCCCCCCAAAAGGCCAAGTAAAGACTCTGCAAACACGCCCTGCATGCGAATAACCCTACGAGGTGACAATAGGACGCTCCCTGTCAGTGCCCCCCCCCTACTGTGACATCAGGGGTCAACTCCACTCCCCAACAAGGACGGAAGGACAAAATGGCCGACCCCTTGATTTGGAGGGGGGGGGGGCAAGCAGAGATCAGAGCGCCTTGACCACGTGGCCCAAACAGACGTGTATGACGCAGGGACCGGTGCCAAAGCGCATCCTCTGCATTCGTTGACTCCTACTGAGCTTCTCTTAAACCGCGTGATTCACGCGAGGAGCTTCTACACAAACATATACATTATGCTGACGTGTTCAGAGAGGGCGCCTGCCGGGACTCAAACCTACAACCACACAGCCCGAGAACCTTTCCTCGAGAGCCTCTCCTCACCCATATGACAAACATACGTCCACAAAACCAGCGGTACAGCAGCTCAGGTAGAGTATCTGCTGCAGCAAAAAAATATGTTTTGCCTTCTGGCCATAATATTACTGCTTGCGCTGCATAAAAGTTTCAGTGCTAGTTGAAGGCCCAGAAGAATTTTAATCCAATTAAATAATAATTAAAAAAACAGTTATTTATAAAAAAATTTTAAGAGAATCCGACTGACATTTGGTTAATATGGGTTACAGTATGATCATACATTCAAGCGCTTGCGACTGTTTACTTTCCACAAGATGCGATTTACATTTATATTGGAAAGGACGCCTGGTGCCCTCGCCATGCTGTGCCAGGGAACGCCACGTCTCCATGGCCGCTGTGCAGAAGCGAGGCCTCGCTTATCAGTCGGCGGCCGGACCGCGGCTGGATTGAGGGCTTCCAGCCCAGACACAACCACACCCCCGGCTATGAGTCGGGCAATTCCACTCCATACTGCTGTCATTGGTATTAGGGGGTTAAGTCCGCTCTAAAACAGACCTCCCCCTTCTACAGTACAACATGGGGACTGCGACTCCCGAACCAGCCCCACAAAAGAAACTCGAAGCCCCACTGAATATACACAGCGTACCGAAAAGGGGATATGACATTAATCAAATGTCAGAATCAAATGACACTGCTTACCGACAGTCCCCTCGGTTAAGCGGCTGCGATATCATCTAAAACAAAACAGAACCGACCAAACAAAAACACCCAGTTGCAACAAGCAGGAACACGACTACACCCCCCCACCCACCCACCCACCCCCCACTGACTGCTGAGCTCTTAAAAAAAAAAAAAAAAAAAAATGCAGCTTAAGAGGACAGAGAGGAAAGCAGAGCAGGGAGACGGAGGAAGAGACGCACATAAAAAGGGACTCGAGCGAGCGAGCGGCTGGCATGTGACTCAGCCGTGGCGCGGAATCCCACTACACTCGCGCAACGCGGCACTGACAGGGAAACGGCGCAACGCGGAGCGCTCAGCTTCCGCGCAGACCCCGGTCACGACAGCAGGCGTGGTTCGGCTCATACGGAACCAAAACAGAAGATGGAGATTTGAACAGTAGGGTGTTTTGCGAAACCTGGATGTGAGGGATTCATGATGGGGGGGTGGGGAGGAGGAGGCTGATACACGAGCCAGGG